GTAACCGACTACGTTCGGAACCGTGATTTTGGCAAAGCGTATAAACGGATAATATTTATATTTATTGTCACTTAGATTAGAAAATGTATATAAAATTGTTTTAAGAATAGTATTACAATAAAAAATTATTTAAGTGCAATATTTTGACACAAAATGAACATAGAATGACCCATTTTCAAAATATTCTCCTTTTGTGAAAAATGCTTCTATTATAATAATATTTTGCCTGTATATAGGTGAGACGTCTTTACAGAGGTTCAACTAGAGAATGTTTGAAATATATAACTTAGAAGTGGGTTTATCCATGTTTTACGACAACAGAGGGGAGAAATTTTAAGAAAAAAAATGGCGATAATTGTTTTAATGGGTTTAACTCTGAAAATAATGTGAATTTTTCAAAAATCATAGTTGAGCCTCTGTACAGAGGTCTGAGCTCAATACAGACAAAATATTATTATTCTAGAAGCATTTTTCACAAAAGGAGAACATTTTGATAAAAGGTTATTCTAAGTTAATTTTTTACCGAAATATTGTATTTAAATAATTTTTTGGTCAAAATTTCCTTAAAACAATTTTATGCATGTATTCTATTCTAAGTGACACTCAATATCATGAAAATTATCCATTTATGCGCTTATTTTAAAATTACGGTTCCGAACGTAGTCGGATTCCTTAATAAACACTCACTCAGTAAGTATTTGGAAAGATTCAACATGTGTTGACAACCACTATTTTTGAGTTAATGTTAAAATGTTGTTATAAATGGAAGCAAGTTACAGGTGCTCTATGCCCAGATGAACGTCGGTGATCCGGTGTGCGGGCTACAAGCCCGTAGCTGATAAGAGTCACAGTGGTTCGATTCCACCTTCTGGGGGTGAGCTAATTCTTTCAGGATTTTTTTTTTATCTAATTCCTACAACACAGAATGTTTCTGTTTTTTGCTTTGTAGGAAAAAATGCCATTTTTTTAAGCCCATAAACTACGCGCATCAACTTGTATTAGAATCCTAAGATTCATTCTTTCCTCCTGTCTGTTAATGATTATTCATTTCTATTAAGATCGTCATGAATGTTCTCTCTCTCATTTTGTTTTGAGGGCTGAAAATATAAACAATTTTCAAAATTAAAATTAAATAATGCGAATCTTTTACAGATTTATTTATAAAGGGATAAAGTTCCAAAAATGTACAAAATGTTTAAAGTATAATCTTAATTTTAAAATTTTTAAGCATATGAAAATCAGAAACATATATAATATTAAATAATTTGTCGCCCATCCGGTATAGCGATTAGTGACGCTGACTGCTATGCCGTTGGGTCTGAGTTCGAATCCCGTAAAGACATGGATGTTTGTAAATATAGTGCCTTCGCGGCATGGGGGTACTTTAAACAGCCGTCTAGCCGCAAGTCTTCTCTTGCGATTGGTGGTGGAAGGGGAAGAGAGGAGGGAGGCCACTGACCAACCCTCGGATGTTCTCCCTCAAAATTGGGGTGAAACCGAGCTAAATCGTTCTGTCTCCTGTATGGGGCTCAAAGCTACGGCTAACGACAGGCATCACTTAGCCCTTTGCCATGATGAATTTCATGGGCCTTGATCTGGCCTTTGCTGATCGGGTGGCATTGGTAACAACAACATATTAAATAATTTAAATGTTGCTCGTGCGTTTCTCTAAAATAGTAGCCTTTGATGTGTAAAACTTTGTATATATAGAATTATAAAATGTATCACACATATATACTCTTTATAGCCTACCTAATTATAGTGTTATATATCTTTTTTTTACTTCAAAAAATATTTGAAAACTATATCGAAGTTTTAAAAAAAAATTAGTGTATTTTTTATATTTTAAAAAATGTAATTTATTATATTATATATTTACATAAAAATAGTTACAGTGTAATAAGGATACCTTTAACTTTGTAAATCAACTTATTGCTAATAATTAGAGCTAATATTTCAGAAAATATCATGCACAACGTAAAACTTAATACATATCTTACAGAAGAAATGTCTCTTATTTTTTTCATAAGCTTACAATTATTTTTAAAGACTCTTATTCTTTTGTAAAAAATGTGCAAAAGATTCCACAAAAGATTAATTTTAATTTAAAAGAATTATATCTATTTGAAACTGTTTACATACTGAGATCACGAGAAAAAGTTAACAATTCCTAAAGAAATATTATAGTCACACTATTCAGTTAGAAGGCTTTTAGCGACGGACCTCGTAATTTTGAACCATGGTCAAGTGACGAGGACGACACCAATGGGAGGACGTTTGAGCTTTCAACTGATTTAACCGTGCATCACACCCCTACACGGCGGGTCTTTAGAGGTACTGGGATCGAACTCGGAACAAGCCAGCCACGAACCTATATCTTGACCACTAACACTTCTGAGACCACTTAACATTGAAAAGAATTGACAGTCCAACAGTTTAAGAAGTATTTAAATTCAGACAAGCGCAACATATATCAAAACATTTTAATTTTTTAATCGGGTTGATCTCTAAAAACCGTATTTTTTTAAACACATAGAAGTGTTCAGAATATGCTTTAAATCACAATTTTTAAGTTAATACTGAAGCTTTTTTATAAAAGAAAGCGAGTAAAATAGTTGTATAATATTCGCTTTAAAATGATATAACATTCTTTGCCTTTTGTGCAACGTAAAATTTCTATAAACACACATCCAACCTAAAAAACATAAACATTTTAAAAAGTGTCAACAATTTTGGTCACCAGTGTGTGTGTGTGTGTATATATATAAATATATACTTCGAATAAAAGCGATTTTAGTTGATGCTTTTTTTTTTATTTTACTGGTCCAATTTTTATTGTTACAATGGAACTGGTTATTTCCCGATGTTATTTCTCTTCAAATAATGCAAATACTTATGAAACATTCTAGAGTTATTTTAACGCTTTTTATTGCCGGAAAGTTGTCAATTACGTAACACAAAAAACTTTTTTTAAATAAGGATTAATTAAAAAATATTTATAAAAGTTTTTTATATTGTAAAATGAAGCAACAATGCGAGAATACGCTGCAATTCAACTTTATGATTTACAAATTGACCATATAAATATAAATAAGGGTTGTTTGTTTTTTCATACTATTGATGAAGGATACAAGATATTACTTTATGTACAAACAGTTTGAGGAAAATAACCAAATCGTTTGCAAGAATAAGGTTAGATAAAATATTTTACATTAACATATGTGTGTGTTACTTTCTTTAAAAAATTGCAGTTTCTATGTAAATGTTTGGAAAGAGAGTTTTAAAATATGTTTGAACCACTATCTTTTAATAAATGTTGAAGTTTTGATGAGCATCGGTGGTCCGGGGAGATGGCTTAAGACCCGTAGCTGACGCGAGTCAGAGTGGTTCGATTCCACCTTCTGGGCGTGAATAAATACTTTCAGGAGTGTTTTTCTTTATCTGATTTTGAAAACATAATGTATTTGTTTTGCTGTAGAAACAGTAGCTTTATACCCAAAGACTATGCGTCAAACTGTATTAGAATTCTAAGATGCATTTTTTCCTCTGTATTAACGATTCGCCATTCCTATTAAGAAGCGTTTAACTTAGAAATGAATCGATAGTGTCTCATTGCGTAGCTTTATAAAAATTATGTGGTAAATACTTACATAAGCATTTTATGTTGGAAGTTGGAACAACATTACGCGAATAAATTTTTTTCATGCGTTTCGAATTTATCTAATTGATTCCTGATGAAGTTGTTTTTTCCACATTCATTATTTACGAAGGAAACAGCATCCCACTTTTAAACCAGCAATTTGAGAAATATTTCAATTTAGACAAGCGCAATATTACACAAAAGTACTTTACTTTTAAAATCGGGACAATCTCTAAATACAGTATTTTTTTATTAGAAAGTATGGAGTGGTACAGAATATATGTTTTTAACCAATATTTTTATGTTAATGTTGCAGGTTTGTTATAAAAGAAAGCGAGCAATGTCCGTTCAATGCCCAGATGAGCATCGGTGGTCCGGTGTGCGGGCTTCAAACCCGTAGCTAACGAGGGTCTGCGTGGTTGGATTCCACCTTCTGGGCGTGAATAAATACTTTTAGGGATGTTTTTTTATCTGGTTTTGAAAACATAATGTACTTGTTTTGCTGTAGAAACAGTACCTTTATGCCCAAAAACTATGCTTTAAACTGTATTAGAATTCAAAGAGGCCTTTTTCCTCTGTATTAATGATTCACCATTCCTATTAAAAGGCTTTTTACTTAGAAGTGAATCGACAGTGACTCATTGCGTAGCTTTATAAAAATTGTGGGGAAAATACGTTAACATTTTATGTTGGAAATTAGAACAACATTACGCGAATAAATTTTTTCATGCTTTACGAATTTATCTCATTGATTCCTGATGAAGTTGTTTTCCCACATTCATTATTTATGAAGGAAACAGCATCCCA